GAAAAATGCCAAAAACATGACCAGAAAGCCTGTAGGTTTTGATCAACAGGCACTATTATCATTGTGATATTTATCTTCCTAAAATACAAGTTGTCTGCACCACTCCTTGGCTCACTGACCTATATAATAGTTAGCAGTTGCCTGTCAGAACAAGTCCAAACACCTTGGCCTGCTGTCCATCCTGCCTTCCTCAGACCTAACTTAGCAATGAGACCTGTGGCTTTTCACCTGTAGGTTCTCCACTGTCCACTTCTTGAATCAGACTTGACTAGCCAAGGAGCATTTAAGAGCCTCTGTTCCACTAGATGGTGATGTCCACAATGTGTCGGCACCATAGCATCTGGGTGCTTAAGTGAGAGACGTGGGCCTAATGGTCCCCATTTTCTAGGCATACGCATAGGTCTTGATACCTTACATTGTCTCTGAGTTTGAGAGATGAGGATGTGTTACTGGTGGGATTATGTTAGGAAGCACATTCCACTTCTCTTTACTCTCCTAGATGATACTCAGCATCGTGTGTGTGTGTGTGTGTGTGTGTAATATTTTTGTCTAAGTTATTGATCTGTGTCTATGGTCTTCTCTTTTTAAAAGAAAGCTATAAATTCAGTTGAATGGATATTACCGAGAACTGTTCTGGACACTGCTGTGTCCTAGGGGGAGGGAACCTGAATGCAGTGATAAATAAAATCATCTTTGAGTAATTCTGTGTTTAGCAGGAGAGAGAGGAAGAGAAAAGCATGGGGAGAAAACAAAACATAGTGTAAGGGTCATTTAAAATTTGATTTAAACTATGTAATATGTTTATTAAATACCACCTGTATGTCAGAATATAAGACCAGAGATATAAAGATTTGTAAATGACAGTCCACACCACAGAAGAGCTTACAAGATAAAATATTTACAAGATATAATTCAGAAGAGGTATTGGATGAGAATCCTATGTCTACTGAAAGTAAGCCCTGTGAGGGTAAGGAACTTCTCTGTCTTGTTCCTTAATGCATTTTCTGCATCACAGCAATGCCTGGCACATAGTAGGTACTCAGTAAACACTTCTGTAATAAATAATGAACGATGAGGATATCATCAGAAAGTTTTACATTTAGTCAATAATTTAAGGTTTAATTCCTAGTCAAAATGAGGTCATTTTTAGGAGGCAAATGAAGGGCAATGAACAAACTAATGTTTCAGAAGTTGTCTTTCACCAGATGGCAGAGCATGTCAGGTTTGAGTTTTTTGTGAATTTCTCTGATTGAGTGAATAGTTCTGGATGTCTGTGACTCCTATTCAGTAATAAGAATTACCGGAATGTCCTTCAGTCTTGTATCAGTTGTGGTTCTAGAAGGCTCCCTGATCTAACCCGTCTAAATGGAGATCTCTACAGAGGAATTTAGGTGCTTGGTATGGGTCAAACCCCTAATACTGTCCATTCTTTGAAAGTATCAATAGCCAGTCTACTGGCTGCCATATGCACATGATGCTATTATGTCTTGTTTGGTGAGTGTTCATGCTTTACCTAAGTCTGGAGCTCAACCAGAGTCAGGAACAGGTCATAACCACCTGTAAAATCACCCCAGCCCAGAGGATGCCTGCATAAAACGACAACCTTACATACACCACTGTGTATAAAGATAGCTTAAGATTAACACCAGCCTCTCATTGGAGAGTATAAGAGTACAGTCCTGTTTCTGTTCCCCCACTCCTAAACCAGATTGAAAGTAGCTTCAGTCCCAAAGCACTCAGAGAGCCTCAACTGCTGGCAAGGCCAGGTTAGAGCGCTGTCCCAGCCAGTTTGGATGGCCTGTTGACCTTGGCAAAGCTGAGCAGGGACCAGTGCCCTATGCCAGGCACAGAGGAACCAGGGTCGCATGCCACCCATGCCCAAACGTCTCTCTCTCTGACATTTCCAAGGACATGAGCCAACTTTTTCCCTGGGTTTCATCTCCTATTTGTAGGGATACAAAAGAACACTGAACCTTCCAGTTAATAACAATGCCCCTCCCCCATCTCGCCCTTCCTGGAGAGGATCACAGTTCTGTTGACGATTATAATGCATTTTCTGTCTCCCAGCAATCCACATAGTCATTAATTTCTGCTGCTGACGTCAGGAAAGAGGATTATGTGTGTGTCTGAAACTGTTCCCAAAGTGCTCATTAGTCATAGATAATTGAAAAACTGGTAGGGAAAGATTTGGTGTAATAGTAGCCCCCGCCTGTGAAGAGGGACTTCAACCACCAGATAATTGTAGGCTCCAGCTTTTGACCGCTCACACTGTATCTGCCCGTCTGAATAGGAATTCAGTGGACATGAGCCCACAAACCCTCAGAGTGATTACTTTTTTATACCCCAACATGAGAGTGTGTTGATAGGGACGGAAGCCAGCCAAATCAAGAAAAGAAGTGAACTGTCCTTGGACCTCTCCTGCCTTCAGGCTGACGAGCAGGGTTTGGAAAAAGTGCCCAGGATACTCCTTAACTTCATTTTGCTTTTATTTTAACTTTAAGCTTGTTTGCTTTGATCACAAAAGAAATGTAAGGTCATGGTAGAGAGGAAGCACAAATCTTAGGGAAAAGTCCTACCCTGGGTCCCAATCCCTGCTATAACAATATTCTGCATACTTTTCTAGGATTTTTCTGGAAGTAGACATGCTTGTATTTTTGTCTACTTTAACAAAATTCACAAATCGGATCACACTCTGAACACTATTCTGTATCTTGACGATTTACCAAATTTATCTTGAACTTCCTTCCAAGTTCATACCTTAATTCTTCCTCATTCATTTTGATGGCTGTGTAGGATGTTTCTGGATACATGTGCCCTAATTTGTTTACCCTGATTTAAGGGGGAAACACCTTTAAAAAATTTACATGAGAAATGTGTGTTCAAGGTAGAAGAGTTTTAGAAAGTATAGGTTGGTAAAAAGAAAAAAAAATAGTAATAATTTCTTCATCCAGAAACAAACAGTTTTCTTTTCTTTTTCCCCCAGGAATGTATTTTTACAAATAGTCCATCTACCCTCTTTGTTGTTGTTCTTTTTTTTTTTTTTTAAAGATTTTATTTATTTGACAGAGAGAGACATAGCGAGAGAGGAAACACAAGCAGGGGGAGTGGGAGAGGGAGAAGCAGGCTTCCCGCTGAGCAGGGAGCCCGAGGTGGGGCTCCATCCCAGGACCCTGGGATCATGACCTGAGCCGAAGGCAGACGCTTAACCATCTGAGCCACCCAGGCGCCCTTTGTTGCTGTTCTTAAAATGAAGTCATACTAGGCATAATGTTTTACAGCCTGCATTTCAGTTGGCTTGATAGTTTTACAGATAAAAACTCTTTCCTATTCTAGCCTTTCTCCACTGTAGGTTTATCTTCTTAAAAAACAAATCTTAGTACTCAAAGCTGTTGGCTGGCAGGGCCTCATGGCCTTAGTTGGGGCTCCTTACCCTGCTGGAGGCCCACACTTCTCTGCTGCTCCCTGGTGCCCCTTTTGCCAACATACTGAATGCCTCAAACACTCTGTGCCCCTTGGGGCTCCCAGCAGTGAACCGCTTTTTGCTCTAATGGCATCCATCTCCCCTGAGCATTCTAGCTCTGAAACCAGCTATCCGCCGCCTATCTTACCAGACTGGGTTCAGATGTCACCTTCATCTGGATTTCCTGCACTCTCCTGGGCCAACTCACTGTCCCTCCTCTGTGCCCTGGGAATACCACGTACATTCCACCTGCCAAGCCCTTGATGAGAGGCCGAGAGCCCTGGTTTGCCCAGACCACTGTGTGAACCTCTTTCACTTACACCCTAGCACCTCAATGTTGCCACCACTGTTCCTGAAATGTTTGTTAAGATGCATGGATGAGTGGTGGAACAAAGGCTAGGAGAGACAGCCAATGCTGAGGCTGTGAGGTTTTGATTAAGTCTGGGAAAATGGATGCTGTGATTAACTTAATTTTATGGTCAAGGAAGAGCCGAAAGGAGGATTAATTCCAGAACAGTTGTCAAGGCGCACTAAAGCTTGTTTCTGACAGCTCCTGTAATCCCTCAGATGCCCCTCTGGCTGATAAACTTAAAGCATGATCTGATGGGGTGATTTCTCAGCGATTCCTGCCTTTTCTAGCACCTTCTCTTACGCCAAGCTGTTTCTGTTTGGTCTTGAAATAAACAAAGCTTCTTCCTGCTTTTGGCCCAGATAGACTATTCCTGAAAGGTGTGGTTCCAGTTCAAAGGAGGATGTGAATCTTTGTGCATGTTTATTTTCATTCCAGGACCACTGGCCTGTGGAGAAGGCCTGGCTGACTGCCCTAAGTTGGGTTCTCTGGCAGCAGATGCTGAGATAGATTTGGGGGTACTACAAGGTAGTTATTAGGGGTTGCCATCTGTGATAGGAAGGGGGAGAGAGGAGGATTGGGCAGAGCGAGGATTAGCGCTGTAATACAGCCCCACGCCCCTTGGCCAGCCCAGAAGAGTGCTCTGGAGTGAGTGGTGCCCATCAGAGTCCTTCTGCTCCCAGTACGCTAAGTCATCGGGTGGGGCTGCCCTGGGACAGGGGTCACCTCGGCACAGTGGCCCAAAGGTGCTGGCAGCTAGCAGCTTTCTGCTGATTTGACCCCCCTTCCTGGGCCGCCAGTCTGTCCTTAATGGGGATGCAGGCGGTGTCTCCATAGCTCCCATACTCCCTATATCCAGGTGACCGCCATGGCCTCACTGCCTGCTTCACAAAACCTCTCCTGTTGCCTGCTTCTGCATCTCCCTTGCCCATTCCTTGATGGAGGTCCTCATCTTTCTCTTACCAAAATCGCTTCACAAGTGTTCTCCCTAACACTTGCTGTCTTCTGCTGCAAGTGCTCCGGAGAGATCTGGAAAAGTGCACAGATGCAGCCACCTCGCACCCTGGCTGTAATGCTTCTCCAGAGGCTCGCAGTGAGCTTCGTGATGGAGTTCGGACGCCTCCACTGGGATGGCAGTGCGTGCCTTGTCCCCCTTCCATCTCCAGCCTTATCTGCTCCTTCCACCTCCAGCTCCTGTTCCTCCTTGCACAGCCCGTTTGGCGTCTCCCGTGTTCCTTGGCTTTTGCTCCAGATGCTGCCTGTGCTGGGAAATCTACCTGCAGTCCTCCAGAAGCCCTTCTCAACTGCTGCCCAGAAGGTGCCCCAGAGTGCCCCATCTTGCTCATCCTCCTCCTGTCCGGAATCTTTTGTTAAGGAAGATTATACCCCTTCTGTTTGTGAAGCTCGGAGATGAAGGTGAAACATTTTTACCTTCCTATAAAAATTAACTCTTTAAGAAAAATCTGAAGGTAGTGAGCATGATTAGCATAATGTTTGTTCTAAAAGTACTTCTTTGGGGGCACCTGGGTGGTTCAGTTGGTTGAGCATCCAGACTTTTGATTTTGGCTGGGGTCCTGATCTCAGGGTCATGGGATCAAGCCCCGCCCATGGGGAGTCTGCTGGAGATTCTCTCTCTCTCTCTCTCCCTCTCTCCCTCCGCCCCTTCCCCCACCCACATGTGCTCGTGCTCTCTAAATAAGTAAATAAAATCTTTAAAAAAGGAAAAGTACTTCACTTTTCTTCATTCACTTAAACATTTTTTTAAATAGATATACTCATATGTAATTTAATGAATAAGAGCACAGGTTTGTGTCCATCACAGTGGAATCCATGGCCTATACTCCAACACTTGTGGGGAATTTACTTTCCCTGTATAAACTGACTTTCCCCATCCATCTGTGCCATGGGGACAGTAGAGTATCCTTCACACGGGGTTATGACAACCAACTGAGAAAATGCATCATATGCCCTTAGCACAGTCCCTCGAACAGCAGTGCTCAGTAAAGACAAACACTGCCTGTTACGTGCTGGATACTGGACGTGGTGCCATACTTGAGATCGTATGTCTCTGGAGACACATTGTCCCCAGCAAAGGGCACCGCTCTCCTTCAGGTTTCTGATGGCTTGGGCATTCAGAGTAGGTGAGAAGTTCTCCTTGCTTTCCACCCCATCATAGGAGCGTCTTGACTTGATCTTCTAGACCAGGGCTATCCCATAGAAATATGAGCCACATACGCAATTTAAAACTTTCCAGAAGCCACATTAAAGTAAAAAGCAATAGGTGAAATTAATGTCAGTGTCTCTTATATAACTTAAAACATCCAAAACATCATCTCAACGTATATTTGATGTAAAAGTTATTAATGAGATATTTTGCATTCATTTTTTGCCATACTTTTTCGTACAAAGTCTTTGACAGCTAATGCGTATTTGCCACTTAGTACATCCCGATGTAGACACTAAATTTTCATTGTAAATATTTAGATTTCTTTTTTTTATTATGTTGGTCACCATACAGTACATCATTAGTTTTTGATATAGATTTCCTCAATTAACATTGAAAATGTAGATTTGCGCACCCAGAGTGGTTTCAGATGTACTTAGAAGCTTTTCAGTAACTGAATTGAGTATCAGTTTTTAAATTGAAATGAATTAAAATGAAATTAAGTGGAAAATTTAGGTCCTTGCATTATTCCAGCCACATTTCAAGTGCTCTGTCTGCACGTGCCGAGTGGCTACCATCTTGGATGGTGAAGCTCCAGAGCACATTGCAGGGGTTTCCGTCTTCTGCTTGCTTTTCTTAGCTAGACTTTTTTCAAATTCAATTATAGAAGAAGCTCATTACCTAAAATGGATAAAAACGGTGTCATGGAGGGGTTTTTTTTGTTTGTTTCTCATTAGAGGAGGTTGGTGAGCCACTCACCTTCTGCTTCCCTCAACCCCCACCCTCCCCTCCACCCCCAGAAGTCCTGAAACACCTCAGCCTACCCCTGGAGCTCCATGGAACAATTAACAAGTGGTAGGCATCTTAGTGCTGAGCAAACTGCTGACTACACGTTCAGAATCTTAGAATCTTGGAGCTCAGAGGGGCCTGAGCATATATGTGGGTCCACCCCCCTCCTTGCAATGCAGAAATACTTATTAGATATTTCTTGGCAGGGGGAAGGGAAGGACTCAGCCTCTGCTAAACACCTGAGAACAGATGGATTTCTTCATTGTATTCTGACTTTCATGGCTCTCTGTGTCCTGATCTCATCTCCCTAACTAGGTTGGGTGCAAGGACTGCCTTTTACAGCACCACAGCGCCCACACAAAGCAAGACAATCAATAAATTCTTAACTGAAGGCCTGACTGACTGCAGGAATTCAAGGTCACTTGAAATATCAGGGTCGCGGCATTGCACAACTCCAAAGAACACCATTCAGATTGTTTTCTGTGGTTGTGCAAATAGCAGCCTTGTAAAAGTTTGCAAGGTTTAGACTGGGTTCTCTTGTCCAACGGAGAAAAACTTTCAAGACATTTTATATCAGAACAAAATAATCCCCTCCCTTATCCTCTGACAGGAAGCAACTACACAAGTAAATGTTCTCAGCTTCCTTAGGAATATATGTTAATCAGGGACCGGGTGTGTGTGTGTGTGTGTGTGTGTGTGTGTGTGTAAGGTATGCTGGTAGAGCTGCTGCGTGTGAGGAACACTTTAACCATTTTAACCTCGTCTTCAAGAGGCCACTGTGTTTATATCTTTTGGAATTTCCCGTGAATGGAATCTTTCTCCAATTTGAAAGGTGCTTTAGAGCTCTTGATTTTGTAAAGGACCGCAGAGCGTGACGCATAGGAACCAAGGACATGCACCTAAGTCACCAAATGAGCAAAAGGACTGTTGATGGGTGCATGGTTTTTATCTTCATGATGTTGACAAAAGGCAGAAGAGAGGGGAGGGAGTGGAGAGGTTCTCTTAAGAAAACCCTATGTTCGCTTTTGTGTTTTTCAAACTGACAGGTGTTTGTTTTTCCTCCTGTCTACCCAGGAAACCAAGTGCTGCCTCCTGGAGCCTCTCTTGGACATGGGCTCACACCAGAGGCAGCGAAGGACCTTGGCCTTCCTGCTGGAATTGCCGTAGCAGCTTCACTTATTGATGCCCACGCGGGAGGCCTAGGTAACCGCTCACTCCGGGTCCGTGAGCAACACTGGGTTCAAGTGGAATAGTCCTCAGAACCAAACGCACTCCTTTCCTGTTTTTAAAGCAGGGATCAAGGGTTGGTGGTTCAAGATATAGAAACAAAAAGCCCTTTTACAATTAGGCATTTGGATAGAATTATAGAACTTTTTATCAAATGTGGACTTTAATTTTATTAATTTCTCCATACAGAATAGCAGGGGAAGAAATGATCTGAATCAATATCTGGACGGTTCTTTGGTTTACTGAAAATTTGAAAAAGATATGTTAACTTCCAGCTAGCATGTATGGTGGTGGTGTATTTACTTTTATGTTTTTTTCTGAAGGTACTCCAAAACCCTGACGAGACTAATTGATTTATTTTCATAATTTTGGCTTCTATCCTATATCCAATTACTTTGAGTGTAGTCTTGATTTCATCTCCTAAATAACTCTCACATCTGGCATTCAAATGTCTTCATTATTTCAAAGACCCATTGAACACTAACCGTGTCCTAGAGGTGGTGCTTGGGGGTTTTGAATTTAAAACCAAAGCAAAAACCAAGGTATCTCTTCCATCAATTTTAATAGGCGGACAGTGAGACAAGGTTACAGTCAAGTGTGATGACTCTCTTCTCCTCTACATCCTTAGTGCTTGCTTGCTTGCTTGCTTGCTTTTTTTCTTTCTTTTCTTTCTTTCTTTCTTTCTTTCTTTCTTTCTTTTCCTTCCTTCCTTCCTTCCTTTTTTTGGGGGGGGGATTTCAGATTCTCAATATCTCTCACTTCCACTATAGCCATATTTTTTTTTCCTAGCCCTTCTTTCTAACAATCTTTTTGTCGTTAATGATGGTTAAGACTTCATACGATCAATGTAGTTGGTCATGACCATTGGATTTTTCAGAATAGATTTGACTGAAGTAGAAAACATCAGAGTGCATGTCACAGAGTAAGAGTAAACACTGTTTTTATGGAACATACGTTTATATTTTGTGTGTAGTGCATGTGCATACTGGCCCATGATGAAAATGAATTTACTATGGATCATAGTCAAAGAAACTTTGAAATGTATCCTGTTCCATACTTTGTATCAGAGGTTAGAGGTGTCATTCAGGTACTTATACTGACTTGTGCTCCCAGAATTCAGTTTGTGTAAACACATGTGTATTTCTATTCCCAGACTGATGATCGGTCCTCTACTTCTCTCTCTAGCTAACTTCTACTCTAACTTGAAGATTCGTGGCAGATGCTTTGTTCTCTGCATAGCCTTCCATGGAGCACTCAGATTTATTGTAAAAATCTCTAAGTTGTACTTGTTTCAACACTTTTATCTACCCTAGTGGAGAAATGATCTACATTGGGTTGTAATGACTGATTTATCTGCTTGTCTTTTCTAATGGACTTTGAGCTCCTTGAGGGCATTATATTATTAATTTTGTGTCACCTGTGCCGAGCCCTGGATCAGGTTCCTGTGGGTCCTTGATAAATTATTAAATGGAATACAGTCACATTAAGGCAAGAATAAGGTGAAATGGCTTTCACCTGGAGAGTGGAAGTTCATGGTTCCTTAAGCAACAGGTTAATAAGCAGTATCTGGTTCTTCTACGTAGTTCACGGACTTCCAGAGCAGGGTAGTGTGCTCATCAGTCCACGAATATGTCTGACTTGTTCATCTTTATGTGTTCAGGATCTAACACAATGCCTGAGAAGTTGTAAACAGCCAGTAACACATGTGGGTTGGTTGACTGGTAGATAATACTGAGTTATAGGCAAGGGTGTTTCTCTCCCTTTTCAATGTCAGCAGTGTGTGCTTTTGATTAGAATGGCATGATTTTGGTTTCAGAGAGCAGGCACAGAAAGAACTTGTGGTCTAGATAGATAGGGTGTTTTCCTGTACCCTCATAATCCTGACATCCTGTACCACGTTTGATGCCAGGGAATCTTTCTCCATCATGCTTTTTCAATGCTTATGCTTTTTCAATTTGTTTCACCCATCCACTTCCACCCAGGTGCCGAGCACTGGGCTTGGACCACTGCACACTGAAAGACGGACTGTACCTGCGGGGGCTCCTGGTTCAGTTTCCCAGACCTCCCGAAGGGACGAACCAGAGCACCCTTTTTCACTTCTGGCGAGCACTTGCTGTGCCCTATACGGCACCTGCTATGTCTAGATACTCAGAAGGTGTTGGTTGAATTGTACTGGGAGGAATACAGGCTATTACAGGACCGCCCCCCCGCCCCTTTTCCTAAATCAGAGACGTTCAGTGATAGGAATTTTACCCCTCGAAGCTTTGGCTGAGGCTTTTTATTCTTTTTAATGCTCATCGGTTAGTGAGTTTCCCTTGTATTTTCCACAAGGAAGTTCTTTATGTGGAAAGGTAGAATAAGGGCTTTGGATTCTTTAAGGGCTAAGCGTAGGGGCCAGTGGTGTCTGGGAAGGCACAGGAAGGGGCTTCTCCAGCAACTGAGAGATAGTCAAGATGGTAACTTTGACCAAGTTTTATCCTTTGTGTACTTTCTGATACTTCCTCCTCTCCCCTTTCAACCAATTCAGGGTTAAGGTATCTGGGAAGGAGAGGAAGGCCTGCCTTGCTTCTCACCCTGCCTGTGCCCTCCGCAACCCCGAAGGTCTTAGAAAGATCATCCACCATCCAGCCGCATGGTCACTAAAGATATGTACCAAGTGCTTGCAATCCTGCCAGTTACTGGTCTAGGCACTGAGGGGTTATGGCAGTGAACAGAGCCGACAAAGCCCCACTCCTTCTGGAGAGAAAATTCTGGTGGTTCTTTCCTGGCTTGCATGTTCGTTGCTTTATAATACTGGTTGGAGACAACTGTTGTTGTGATATTATAAATAAGGGCTCTGAACATGGAGTCTGAAGATCTGGGTGTAAATTCTTACTCTCTCCACCTGTGTACGTTGGGCCACATATCCTACCTCTTCGCTCCTGTGTTTCCTCTTCTGCATTAAGAGAGAGCAATGCCTCCCCCCCCCACCCCCCTTGCCAGGTTGTTAAGAGAGCCGATGATGTGAGTAGGTAAAGCAGCCAACGTAGTAGCTGGCCTATGGTAGGCACGTTATTATGAGGCATCTCTCTTTGGTTTTCTCACTCTGGAATCACAATGCCTGACACAAAGAGCTTTTACATTGGAAGTTCTCTGAGTTACTATTATAGTAAGAAGTGTACTAGGAGAGCTGTCTTCTTTTTGGATAGGCAGTTGGAGAAGAACCTCAGGCTTCTGGACTCTGTCTGCCTTCCCCGAATGTGCCCTAATTCTCCTTGCTGGGCACTTGGTGACAGAATGCAGGATTCACTGCTTTAGATTCTGTATAGGTGGAGGTCAGAAGCAATCTCAAGAAATGGGTAGATGAACTCCATGCTAAGAAGTTGCTGAATGTCAGGTTAAGAACCCAGCTTTGGAGGTCAGAATTGGAGGCCATGCAAGCCTCCTGCAAACAGGCCCTGACAGTTATGGCCCCTTCAAGTGCTGACCTAGCATGACCTACCTTGGACCCTACATTCTGACTGATAGGAGGGGTCAGCACTCTGCTTTGGAGAAATCTCCCTGGGCTCTCATTCTCAAGGGAGCCTGGGACAGGAGGATAAAGATCAAAGAGGCAAGTAAAATTAACCCATGCTTTTTCCAGTTTGGAAAAAGAGGAGGAAGGACTTTGTGGGAATAAAAATCAAAGATTAAAGAACATTTTGTTCTTAAGGTGCTGGTTAGTAAGTTCTCCAACAGACAGCCAGAAGATAGGAGTAGCTTTGTTTGCTCTTTGTGGGGCTGGTTCTGGCCAGAGCTCCTGCTGCTGATATTTTTCTAGCTTATAAAAATAGTATTAACTTTGTTCCAGGTCTGTTCTTGGCTCCAGCACCCCAACTGTCCTGAAAGGCAGTAACAACCCGATTTCTGTCTCAGGCTCCCTTCTCTTGGTTGTTCTAAATTTATCAAACTCCTGATTATCCCTCAAATCTTGACTCCAGTGCCACCTCCTCTGGGAGCCTTCCCTGACTCCCTCGAGCTGACTTAAGCAATCCTTCCTCTGTTCCTGTGTATCTTGGACTTGCTTTCCTTTTACTCTACATGTCACCAGTCTTGCAGGTGCATCATGGTCTCAATTATTAGTTGTCAGCTCTTTGAGAGAAAGTACTGTGTCATTTCATCCTTCTATCCCGGCAGCCTGCACAGGGCTTTGCACGTGGAAGACCCTTAACACATGCATGTTTAGTGACTGAGTGAATGAAAGGAATGAGTGCATCCCCTCCATGAGGGACGGATGCTACAACTGAGAGAGGCAATTATCCCTACACAGTAAGCTGTGCCTGGCTCGGTTCTTCATGAAGCCAAAGAGTTGGGTTTGGGCACTCCCTGATCCACTCCTGGATGTCTGGAAATGGGTGTCCTTTGTGTCCCATCATGTTAGCAGGTGTTGGCTAAGAGCAAACTTTGTGCCTAGGTTTAGCATTGCTCTTTGCTTCCAGATACTGGATTCTTTGCCAAGTGTTGAATTAGTTTAAATTGTTTATCTGTGTTGCAGAGTCAAACCAAAAGGAGGATATTTGAATTCCTCCCTCTCTCCTTCCCTCCCTTCCTTTCTTCCATTCTTGACTTTTCTCAGTAGCAGAAGAATTGGTTTAACCAGTATGATAAAAAGAGCTTCTGGTCCATGCCCTCCTATAGCAAAACATAGTTTATTCCAGTGAGCAGTAAAATTTGTCAGCTACCTATCTTGCCACAATCAGTGGTCTAGAAGCAGTGCTGATTCTCAGCACAACTTTATACATCCTATTATTTTGTTCCCATTTATCAAATGAAACAATGAGGCTCACAAAGGTTACCTGACTTGCCCAAAGCCACACAGTTAATAGGTGTTAAATCATTTAAATCCATGCCTTCTGATTCCATAGCTCACATCCTAATTACTGTGCTATATGGAATGGCATATCTATTAAAATGGGATCCAGTCTACTCTTGAATTTGACTCTTAAAAATATTTTAGC